GCTTGACCAGCCTAGCCAAGCTGGGAGCCCAGCCAAAACCAGCTATGTCCAGCTTAAGCCAGGCTGGTCAAGCTGGTTTTAGGTGGATTTGGCTGGTCATTTTCCAGCCTGACCAGCTAAGACCAGGCTGGAAATGGCTGGAAACCAGCCTGGAAATGGCCAAAACCCCTCTAAAACCAGCCTGATCGACCAGCTAAAACCAGCCAGCCAGCCTAGGCTGGTTTAAGCTGGATTTTTCAGCAGGGCTTTCTTGTGTTCAACAGACAAAATGAAACTCAAATAGGTTTTAAACAAGTGAACAGAGAATAAATGATGGCAGAATATTATTTTTTTTGGGATGAACTATCCCTTTAATATGCTTTTAGAAATCGAATTCGATTCAGACACCAAAAAGAAACATCTCATCTCAGAGCTGCACCTTACTTTCTCCATTTAGTATTGTAGTACACTTAAACACTACAAAAATTCACCTCAAACCTCTAAACTCTGTTTTCACCAGTCAACGCGGATGATCCTCCAATGGGAGTCGTCCGTAAGTTTGTCCACCTGTTGGACCACAGCGACCAGGATTTCCAGGAAGAGCTGGAGCTGATGCGGCTCAGAGAAGAAGTGATCACCAACATCCGCTCCAACCAACAGCTGGAGAACGACCTTAATCTGATGGACATCAAGATCGGCCTGCTGGTGAAGAACAAGATCACGTTGCAGGAGGTGGTCTCTCACAGCAAGAAGCTCACCAGGAAGAACAAGGGGGAGCTGTCAAACCTCATGATGATGAACAAGCAGAAAGGAGGCCTGAAGGCGCTGAGTAAGGAGAAGAGAGAGAAGCTGGAGGCGTATCAGTTCCTCTTTTACCTGTTGCAGGTAAACCTAGTCAATGCTAGCCCAACATATGTTTAAAACCGAAATCACTGCTGATGGGTTCATTTTTTCCTTTGTTTTCCTCAGACAAATCCAACCTATCTGGCCAAGCTGATCTTTCAGATGCCACAGAACAAGTCAACCAAGTTCATGGACTCTGTGATTTTCACACTGTACAACTACGCTTCCAATCAGCGCGAGGAGTATCTCCTGCTAAATCTCTTCAAAACAGCTCTGCAAGAGGAAATCAAGTACAAACTGAATTATTTTCTGTTAATCATAGGCATATGTGGGAAAAAAAGGTTAAGAAACCACTTCAAAATTCTCAGTTTCTCTGTATTTAACATTTATTGTTAAAAGTAACATTCTTTATTTTGTAGACTACTGATGACATTTCTACAAAATTTTAAATAAATAATAGGTGTGTCCCGAATCTCATACTCATGCACCATTCTACACCATTTGTAGATAATAATGCAAGCAGTGCATTCACGCTCAAATATTCCTTTATTATTCTAAACAGAATAAGTGCACTTTAAATACCCGGATGATTCACTTATTTAACCATTAAAAATAAACGTGGAATGTTTGACTCTTTACACAGCCGCTGCTTTACAAAGCCGCTGCTTTGTTCACGTAGCGGTAGGGGCGGAGCTGTCGAGCGCTGATGTTGGAATACTTTATTTATTTTGGATTGTGAAGGTGAAATTCTCCCACATAAGGTATTATGCTCCCTCCAGATGTTGTTAGTGAATGCCGTTTTTATTATTTATTTTTTTAAATGCCAGCAGAATGGTGAGGCACTGGAGAGGGGTCTGGATGCAGACTCTGTGCAGTTGCAATGTGAGCTGCATGCAATGCTTTTTAATGGCCACACCTAACCCCACCCCTAACCCTACCTCTCACAGTGACATCATTAAGTCCATAGCGTACATTGTGTCTTAATTTGCATTTCTGAGATGTGCAGTCTCAGCTTGCATATCCAAGTCTACATCCGGATACTATTGAGGCACTGTTTGTCTGTTTTACACAAAGTGTTGATCGTTTTTTCAAAGTGTTGAAAAAAATTATTTTGTTTTTGTTTTGTTTTTGTAGCCTGGTTTTACAAATTATTTAAAATTATTAATCCCCAACCAGATTATTAGTGTAATTAATAACGAAAGGCAACTTTGTATAGGGCAGACAGGCAGTAATATATATGAATAATAATAGTTAAAAGTGGTGGAGATACCAAATTAATTAGCAGGTCTAGTGGTGTCCCCCTGGTTAAAACATACTACAGGGTTCATACAGTGATGAAAAACCTGGGAAAAGTCATGGAATTTCGACATGGCATTTTCCAGGCCTGGAAAAGTTTTGGGAAATCTGAAAAACCCACAAGGTTTTGGAAAAGTCATGGAAATTAGTTTAACAAATATCTGTATACTTAAATATGGGTTAGTTTTTACTACTTTTCTCTCCATGGCCAAACACATGCTGTCACATTATTAGTGCTGTTTGAGCATTATCTAAATACATTTACAAAGATATAAAAGATTTATTCAAACTGAATAGATCCTTGCATGTTTTATGAAATGCTGTTATAACTTTAAACATGCATTGTTTTTTTCTTATTATTTACCACATATACATGGACATTGCATGCAGTGGTGGTAAGAGTACAAAAAAATTGTACTCAATTACAAGTACTGTTACATTGCTGAAATTGTACTCAATTACAAGTAAAAGTACTGGTGTTAAAAAGTACTCAAGTAAAAGTACAAATTACTCTTCGTAAAAACTACTCAAATTACAAAATTACAAATTACTTTTTTAGCTTGGCGGTATTGGTGGAATTATCCATAAATCCGGAGTCAGACAAGATCCAGGCAGTAAAACACAGTTTACATAACACATCTAAAGATACTATAAACACTTTTTAAACTGTGTAAACAGCATTAATTATAGATTATAATTATAGAGCACCTATAGAGGAAACCCATGCCAACATGGGGAGAACATGCAAACTCCACACAGAAACACCAACTGACTCAGACAGGGCTTCAACCAACAAACTTTTTGCTTTGAGGCGATAGCGATACCCACTGCGCATCATGATTATTTTACAAAAACAATGTTTTGCTATTTTGAGTATAAAGATAACAGAAATATGCACAAATGCACGACTTTTTATCATTTCAAATGATGCCTCTTTTATCTGTACGATCAATAGATGATTTTATATATAAAAAAAAAACTCTTGCAAATTATGGAGAAACCTTGGTAATTACCTAATTCGCGAACTGAACCGTCAGAAACCACAAAACAACACTGCCTAGTGCCTAAACATATTATTAATAAATTAAATATCACACAAATTAAGTTGTCTTCTTACCATAATGTTTTTTTTTTCAGATTATAGACTAAAGTCTTGTAAAAAAAAAAAAGGGTTTCTGCAGATATCATAATGTCAAATTTAAGACTTTTTAAGACTACGTCATATCTTTAATATTGTTCAAGATTTTAAAAATAATTATTTTTCATTATTTTTATAATTTATTATGATTACAAAGTTGGGTGACGGGGTGGGGCAGTGGGTAGCGCTCTCGACTCAAGGCAAAAAGGTCGCTGATTCAAGCCTTGGCAGGGTCAGTTGGCATTTCTGTGTGGAGTTTGCATGTTCTCCCCGTGTTTGCATGGGTTTGCTCAAGATGCTCCGGTTTTCCCCACAGTCCAAACACATGCATTTTAGGTGAATTAGGTAAGCTAAATTGTCTGTTGTTGTAAATGAGAACGGGTTGCAGCTGGAAGGGCATCCGCTGTGTAAAACATATGCGGGATAAATTGGCGGTTCATTCCGCTGTGGCGACCCCAGATTAATAAAGGAACTAAGCCAAAAAGAAAATTAATGAATGATTATAAAGTTTTATAACTTTTCAAGATTTTTTAAATCAAAGTTTGATGTATCACTCACTTTAGTTTATATCACGGACAGTTCTACCTGTTAAAGTTAAATATCAATGACAACAGAACATGGGTTACTCTACAATTATTATTTTTTTATTCTGGCAAGAATAATAGCAAAAAAAATTTTTTTTGCCCACTCAACAATTGACACATTATTGTCTGGCTAGTTTCTGTCCTCTACTAATGAGTTGAAAAGGCAATAATGGTCCAACAATCCTGTCCATCATCACCAATAAAGCCTAGAAATTGGGCTTCAGTATACTGTAAGCTGATGGGTTCATATATTATTTTCCAGTTATCAAATACTTAATTTGTTACTTAATTTTTGTTACATTGCTTTAACTTCAAAATGATCCATCAGTGTAAAACCTATAAATGGTGGAAAAACATATTCTGTAATCTTAAAACCACCTGGGTCTCCACTTTTGCCATGGCCTCTTTTTTGTTGTAACAAACTTATCCCCCAGGTTTTTCCAAACTTTAACAAAACACTTCCTTTCCATGGCTGTTGCAATTTCTAGCCAAGAATTATCGGTCATCTGGTTATCTCTTTGTCCACGCATACAGTCGTACTGTTACAGACAAAATCTCTTCAAAGTGATTCAAATTCAACTCAAATCAAGCGCGGCGCCGCGTGAACTGTTCACCCGAAATCATGTCGCGCGCATCCAAAGTGAACCTCCGCAAACACGGCGATGACGTCACATTTGCCGCGCGCACTGAGCTATTGCATGCTGGGCTTATTTGTAGTTTTAATACTGCAAATTACAATAGGACTAGTGAAATAAAGAACTACACCACCACGAAACAAAGCAACAACAAAAAAATAATTTAAATGAGCATTAGAAGTAGCGTTACAATGTACATCGGAAAAATAAGACATGTGCAAACATATTTCAGATCTAGAACAGCGAATTTAAGACTTTTAAGGGCTAAAATTTAGATGTTTATATTTTAGACATTTTAAGACCCCACGGAAACCCTGTAAGCCGGATGGCACAGCAGAGGGCAGGTTTCATCCACTTATTTTTGCGCTTTTTGGATATGCACATAAAACGGTTGATGGAAACGCTATAATGCGCATATATTTTGAAAATGTGTGTGAATGGACAAACCAGCAGGCTAAGCACATTGTAAAACATCTAAAGTGTTGTTTTGGTCATTCTAAACCACCTCAACCATTTCAGTATTATATTATATTAATAATGACCTCCAGAATTGTCAAGAGTTACTGCACTCCGTGTCTCGCGCCTTCAAACGCCAGCGCGCGTTCACTGCGTGCAGGATTGACTTCTGATGCGCAAGTCACTTATTAAATGAAGATAATTTATTCACGCAGCTGCTCCTACTGATGCTAATTCTGTTTTTACTTTTGATATTTGTCGCCAGTTAATCAGAAGGTGGCAATTTTGTTCTCTTTGACTTGATGGACAGAAACGCTGCTTTATTTGCAGTCTTTTATGCGATATTCCAGTTTTGGGCATATATTTAATAAGCATTTTAGATGATAACATAGCTATTCACATCAGCACATCTGTCCTCTTTCTTCCCTATGTACCTGTAGGTGAACAGCTCCTCCGGGTGTGGCCATGCATTCATCCTCTGCTATTTCTTCCTCATTTCTTCTGTCTTAAATCTCCATATGTCAATTGATAACTTTGTGACTGTATGATGACGGTCACGTAAATCTGCAGTAGCCTGAACTTGTTTTTCGGTTCAAATAATGTACCAGGCTTTTCATTGGTCCGTTAAGATCAGCTTTTTTTATTGGCTACCGAAATGCTGGTCAGTGCGTGGCTGAAATATTAATTTATTGACAGTACTCTGTAACGAATTGTGTTTATAAAAGTAACGAAGTAGATTACTCAGCTTAATTTGTACTTAAGTACAAGTAAAATTACAGGCTTAAAATTCTACTCTTGAAAGTACAATTACACCAAAAATGTACTTAATTACAGTAACGTGAGTAGTTGTAATTCGTTACTCCCACCACTGATTGCATGAAACATTAGGTCATGAAAACGAAAGTTCTGGATAACTCATTGAATTTTAGTAGTAAAAATGTGATTGAACCCTGATACTAGCTATGTTTCCATCCAGATATTTTTATCTGCATTTTTAAAATGTGCATAAAAAGTCTATGTGCATAACTGAGTTCCTTCATTTATTCATTCTTTTCTTTTCGGTTTAGTCCCTTTATTAAACCAGGGTTGCCACAGCGGAATGAACCAATAACTTATCCAGCACGTTTTACGCAGTGGATGCCCTTCCAGCTGCAACCCATCTCTGAGAAACATCCATACACACTCATTCACACTCATACACTACAGACAATTTAGCCTACCCAATTCACCGTTACTGCATGTCTTTGGACTGTGGGGGAAACCGGAGTAGAGATCTGCGCGGGACTAAATTTTGAATCCCGCTCCCGCCCGCACCCGCCAGGTTTTAGCCCGAACCCGACCGCTCCCGCTTATATTAAGAATTTATTGTCCCGCTGCCCGACCCGCCCCGTTTTCTGCCCGCCGCGCCCGATCCCGCTAAAGAGCGGGGGAGAACAAAACCGAAAATCCTCCAGCTATACAGTCCAGACAGCCAAGCTGTCTGTTTATACACACACACACACAGCACCAAGCACACACATACACAGACAAATCACATTCACATTTTAGGTGCTTTATGACAAATCTCTCTCTCTCATACGCGCGCGCGCACTAACACACACACATGCACCAAGCAGACTCACAGGCGTTTGCTGTTATATCAACTCAAAGGCTTGTAATATCATGTATCAAGTACCAATGTAATACCAAAAGGTTTTATATAAAGGTATATAAATACTGAGTCGCGCCAGCTCCGGGCCGCAGCGCACATTACTCTCGGGCCGATTCCGGCGCGGATGCGGCAGCGTCGGCTCTCTTACGGCCGCCGCATCTGGCCCGATTGATTCGGGCCGGAATCGGGCAGTGAGTCCACAAGCATCAGGAGTCCGGCAGCCGGAGCCGGGCTGAGTGGTAAGTCTCTGGCAGGCGAGAATCTAGCCGGAACTGGCCCGAGTGTATTTTGCTATCTGGGAAAGCTCTCTCACTCACTCTCTTTCTCTCTCTCTCTCTCTCTCTCATATAGCAATATCCGCGATATTGCTAGACAGCCCGCTCCCGTCCCAAATTAAACCTGTTACCGACCGCTCCCGCGATTTATTCGGAAATTTATTTCCGCGCTGCAGAAATCTGGTCGGGTCCTGCGGCGCCCGCGGGATAGCAGCCCTCTAAACCGGAGCACCCGGAGGAAACCCACGAGAACACAGGGAGAACAAGCAAACTCCACACAGAAACGCTAACCGACCCAGCCGAGGCTCGAGACCTTCTTGCTGTGAAGCGACAGCACTACCAACTGCGCCACTGTGTCACCCATAACCGAGTTAGACAAACTTTTTGTTCGATAAGAAAAGATGCGCATAAACTATGATGAAAACACTTTTACAAAACAAATTCAAGTATGCTCATTCCAATAGTCATGTGATTTTGTTATAATAGATCATATTATGATAAAAATATGTGTGAATGGACAAACCAACAGGCTGAGCACACTGTAAAACATCTGAAATGTTGTTTTGGTCTTTCTAAAATGCCTTAACCATTTTAGTATTATTGTTATTATATTAATTATCACCAAAATCAATAATGTCTGTACTCTTATTAGTCACTTATTAAATAAGCAAAAGATTCACACAGCTTCTTCTACCACAGCAAATTCAATTTTTACTTATGATATTTGACACCAGTTAATCAGGAAGTGACTATTTTTTTGTTTGACTCATTGGATGGAAACGCTGCATTATGTGCAAATTTAATTCGCATCTTTGCATGAAAACATAGCTAATGGCATTGATCTGGTCAAAGTGGATCATTTTTGGAAGATGCACATAAAATGCTTTTGTGGATATGCACCCTTAAGAAAGCATTATTTTTTAGTATACCCCTATTTTTGATAACAAATAAAAACATTTGTTGTTTTTATATTTGTATGTAGCCATCTGTCATTTTAATATTGAAAAAAAAACGCACATCTTATAAATTCAGAAAAACTGAGAATTGTCAGGTGGTCTCTTCATTTTTTTTTAATAGCTGTACTCTTTGATTATGTGTTTGTACTCTTTTGCGATCTCTCATTGATGTTTTCTCTTGTAAACGCAGATCAAAAGTGGACCACATCCAGGAGATTGTTACTGGAAACCCAACAGTCATTAAGATGGTGGTGAGCTTTAACAGAGGAGCTCGAGGTCAGAACGCCCTCCGGCAGATCCTGGCTCCAGTTGTGAAGGAAATCATGGATGACAAAACACTCAACATTAAAACCGACCCAGTCGACATATACAAGAGCTGGGTCAACCAGATGGAGAGTCAAACAGGAGAGGCCAGGTGTGTTAACAACCTTTTTAAATGGGGTATATTCACACAGACTTCTAATTTCAGCCAGCCAGCCTCAGCGCTTCCGGTGAACTGTCTTTCCATTATAAAATGTTACGGTCTGAATTCTTTAAAAATCAGTGATCTTCACTGCCTGATAGATATACGATATAAAGTGGGTCCCAGAATGGACAAGAAGCACTGCATTAAAGAGGTGGTCCACTACGATATCATATTTTAAACTTTAGTTGGTGTGCAATGTAGCTGTGTGAACATAAACAACATCTCAGTGCAGTTCAATGCAAAGGGAGACCTTGGTTTTTACAGAGTTCGCTTAGCGAAGCCTACAATGAACAAATTTTGGGGACTACAAAAAAATATTTCGGGCCTTGTGAGATCACAAACATACTTTTACAGCGCACACACACACTGCGCAGCTGAGGGCCGTGGCCAGAGGCGCTGTAACAATATAGCAGAGAGAGCTAAAATGCGTCCAAACGCTGCTGTTTCCACAGAGCTTCTTCTGTTTCTGTATTTGGGCTTCTAAAGGACACGACACAAAGACAGAAGAGCTTACAGTTCAATATTAATTATGTTCCAGAGAATTATAAAATATATAGCAAGCATGATTTGACAAAACACAGCTCCAGAATCTCTCCTGGATCAGTGCTGGGTTCGGTTCAAATCTCCTCAAAGCTGAAGCTGTGAACTACAACCTGTAAGTGTTTTTATTTGTTAAAATTGATCATGACATGTACAGTGTCTAGCATTAACGGTATGCTGTAGCAACGATGTAAACAACGGGAAATGCTGTTTTGTACCGCAAACGATTTAGCTACAAATTCAGATTCATCAGTCAAACTGCTGTAAACACACACACATACACTTCACCAGCATGTGCAGCATCTCTCTATGTGTGTGAGCGACTTTGCATTGTTTCATTATAGGCAGCTTTTCCATGCGTTTTACATCTCAGATAATGAAGTCGCAAAAGATATGTGGATGATTCATATTACTTACACCTGCATATTCCAGATATATGTGAAAGACGTTGTGTAACACATAGAGTTAAAAAATACAGGAGAGCTCACCTGACTCGTGTAGCAGGAGAAAAATAAATCAACACACGGGTCGCATCCCACATCTTGTACTTTATTCTTCTGTCACAATATATTACAGAAAATTACTTAATCCGAGCATCAAAGAAAAAGAAAGTTCTGCGTAGGGGTGTAACGATACACTCAGCTTCCGATACAATGTGTATCACGATATAATGTTCACGATTCGATATGTATCACGATATTTGAAATAAAAATTGAAAATTAAACTGAAATGCAAATTTTACCAAGTAAACTATTTTTTATGTATTTCTTTTGTTTCAACTTGTTAAACTGAACCTTCTTTAAGAAAATAAATTAAACAGGCCTGTCTCTGGAAAATAAAACACTTTAAAAACTTCTTAAAAATATTATTGAAATGACAGAGACAAAATTAAGGAACAATTTAAGTAAAGGTGCAAAAAAAAAAGCTTTCTATTCAATTGAATTTAACAGTAAGAGCTTAAGGCTTTGCTTGGTCACTTGCGTTTTTTGTGTGTGCAAAAAAAAAAAATCCACATTTCCAGGTATTTAATTCATATTTAATTAAATTAATTTAGAGATATCTCTAATTACAATTGTGACTAGTCAAAACTCATTTAGAGATATCTGCAAATATTTTTCAATGGAAGTCAATGGAGGAATATGACTAGTCATAATATATTTGCAGATATCTCCAATCTGATTTCGTACTAGTACAATTGTAATTGCAGATATCTCTAATTGTCATTCTGATTAGTCGAATTATAATTATGACTAGTCAAAATATAATTAGAGATCTCAAAATATATTTATGGATAGTCAGAACAAAGGTTTAAATGCTAAAACGGCTTGCCATACGCGCGCGTCTATCAAAGTCCGCCCTCTGTAGTAACAGCTAACGGTCAGCTCACATCATGTGTGATTTTGCGGCCGCCAATACATCATTATATGAAGACAGAATGATATTTTAGGGTAAATTGTACCTTATAAATACAGTATGTGACTCTTTCAACACCATTAGAAGGTATCCCTGTCGCTGTGCAAAGTATGTAAATCACTGTGAAGACTTTAAAACTTAGGATGTTTGACCCAGTTTGCGTGTCAAAAAGCGGACGAGTCTAAAGCAATGACTGTACAACCGAAATGTTGCCAGACATCTGATTTTGAGAGGATGGGCCATCCTCTATTTCAGCTCCACTCATCTTGGTCTGCTAACATTACTGCTGCTGCAATCTGAACTCACGTGTGACAGCAAGTGGAATGTAGCTCACGTGCAAACAGCTCAACTAATAAGAGAAAACGGACGTCATATCGTAATCAAATCGTCATAACGCCACGATGCATATTGTGACATTTTTGCATCGCAATAAATCGTACAACGATAAATCGTTACACCCCTAGTCCTGCGCACATGTTTCACATGTCTACAGAAAGTTCACACATTCACACACACACACAGACACGTACACACAATGGCAAACACTCTTAAAGGAGCCGTGCCCCATTTTCACTCGTTACAGACTCTTGTCAGATTTTATTATAGAGAGCAGGCAGGAGGTTGACTGACTGTTTACACAGCAGAAAAGCGTGTGCTTCTATGGGCGTGACGTGGTGCCGATTCTTGAATCGCAGCACATTATGACAGATGACCAATTAGAGTCACGTGAGGGCGGGCCTTTCAGAGGAACTAGAAAAATATATCAGTTGTTTTTATGTGTGCAGAGTAACTGTATATGATCAAAGTGAGATATATGATGAAAAAATTATGTGATTTCCTTCTAGTGAAACATGAGCACACATTGGTTTGCATCTTATAAACACCACCAAGCCTTAAAATTACATTCTGGACTACCCCTTTAAATTCCATTTGATGTCTTTGAAATATGACAGTTTATTGTACCCCAGTATTTTCAATGGAGTTTGTGTGCTTGACTGCTGATCCTGACGGCACTAGCGGTTACACAGTCTTTCTCTCGTTTTACACTTAAACAACTAAATGAATACTTAAGTCTATTTGATTGAATGTATTTTAATTACATTACAACATTGATGCTGTAAAAGGAACCTTATGAAAGTGAAAATAGTCACATTTAGCTTTCACTAAAAGTGTATCATTGGCTGAAAAATACTAGCTGTGTTTATAGCCCATTGAAGTAAGTGTTTTTTCTCAGCAAAGTCTTAATATTAATTTGAAAATGTTCATGTGTTTAAATATTGTATAATATATTGTCTGTTTTACATAATATCGGTATTATACTTTTGTTAATATATACTATATTTATCAGGATAGTAAGGATGCATTTTAGTGCTCTTTTTTTCATATTCTTGTTCATTGTAGAATTTTCATATTGTTTTTAGGGAGACAATTTTACCATCTGTCCTGGGTCAATGGATGACCTTTTTGGCTAACTAACCAACCATTTACAGCAATGTTACATAATGCACACCATCATGCCATAATACAAACAATTAAACAAATTACAGTCTATTTTTAAATGTATTGTTGATATATAGAATAGATATGATTAATCCATATTAAGTATTCGTATATTATGTTAATTGACTTTGATTTATTTTGCAATTCCAGAGGTTATGTTCTGTATTCCAGAACTGTTTTCTTCTGTAAAAATAGGGAAAATTTAAATAAACAATCTGTTTAAATCTTGAACTTTAAATAAGAAAATTGTCTTTAAGTTATCATTTGTGATTTTCTTCATCTCATGCTGTTTGTTTTATCAGATAAATGACACATGTAATAATTTTTATTAAACATTAGACATTACTGTATCTCCTTTGAAATTTCAATTAATCGAAACACTTTAATGACACTCAGGTTTAAAAATGCATTCATTTGTATTCACTCTCCCAGATTAGGATATTTGCTTTGCCAGGAATCATTTTACCTTTTAATATTTTCACCTCAAAAATCAAGCTCATTGTATTAAATCCAGGTCCCAAAATAAAAGTTTACGCTGGATGACATGCTACTTATTGCTTTTGAAATGACTGTGTGATTGTGTTTTGCAGTAAATTGCCGTATGATGTAACTCCAGAGCAGGCGATGAGCCACGAGGAGGTTCGAACCCGCTTGGAAGCGTCCATCAAGAATATGAGGACGGTCACAGACAAATTCCTCTCGGCCATAATTGTTTCATTGGATAAAATCCCGTGAGTTCAGACATTCAGACTACCACTGCTAAATGAAACTGTCTGTGTGTGCTTTATTTATGTAGACTATTTATTTATGCTCACAAGTATAACAGTACTAGTCAATTTTGTTCTTGTGGGGACACGTTTTTTTCCATGAGCTTACTAATCATACAGAAAAGCCTTTTAAAACTACAAATACAGATTGTTTTCTTTGAGGCTTGTGTTTAGAGATCAGATCGGGGTGAGGCACTGAAATATACAGTTTGTGCAGTATAAAAGAGAAGTCCTCACAAAGATAGCTCTGTGTGTGTGTGTGTGAGAGTGACCTAATATTAGCAAATTCCATGTGTACCTGTACCATCAGTCATTCTTGAATATATGAAAATGACTTTTAGCAAGCCCAGATTTGAATATTCAAATGCATGTCTGTTAACATGAGCCGTTTCTTTGTTCATGCAGGTGTACAAAGTAAGTCAGAGTTCCACTGCTGTTTAAGAGTGGTGCTGTGCAAAAAAAATACTACTGTATTTTACTGAACTTGCAGCCTGAATTAAACCTAATGAGTTAAAATGGAAGAGTACATAAAAACAACACCGATTGGACAGTACAGCTAATTGCTCTTTATGACTCATAAAGACTTAATGACTCATTAAATCTAAAGAAGCCACATTATCAATGTTGATTATCATTCTAATAAATCATTTACAAAAAAAACCATCATAAAACAATTAACCATTATGAACTATCAATTATGTGTGTACAGACTAACAAAATGGTGACTCATCCTATTAAGTTTTTTTTTTTCCATAATACCCTTTTATAGACCTTATAACGTAACAGGTTTTCTGTTATAACATCGTAAACCCAGTTAAAGTTACTTGTCACTTCAAATGTTTGTGTTGAAGTGTTTTAAGTTAAAGAAAGTTAAAGGTTAATGTGTATATTACAAAAAGTTTGACTGATCGTGTGCACCTGCAGGTACGGCATGCGGTTCATTGCCAAAACACTGAAAGACACACTTAATGAAAAGTTTCCTGATGCCACAGAGGATGAGCTTTTGAAGGTATGCCACATCACGCAACCATTACAAGTCAAAGCAGCAATTGGCTAATGTAACCGCATGCATTATTTTTCAAACCACCACAGACTTGTCTTAAACACTCTGAATGTCACAGCTCTAAACTGGCGCCTGCTGCTTGGCCATATCAGTTCTGTCCCACTGTGGAGTATTGTCTTGAATCCTGAGCATTTCTCTGCTCTCGTGTTTCTTTTCTGTTGTGGTATGCTGGTCTCCTCACTTTGAATACTAAATGTAGGTTCCCTCTCGTTCCTTTTCTCTTGGTAAGAGAAAACACCTCTTTTTCTTTCTCTCTGTTTCTATGCCCTGGCTCCAGCTTTTCTCTTGGCTCTTGCTTATACCCTTTTCAAGAGGTTTTTGATGAGTCCTAGAGCAGCTCAGGTGAGCCATGCCATTCTTATTCTTTGCTGCTTGTTCCTCGTGCAGTGTTTTTGTTGACCTCCTTTAAAAACTGCACAAAGATAGAAACTAGGGATGCACCAAAATTGAAAATTCTGGATGCACTTGGCCAAAAAACAAAAAGTCTTTGTAATAATCATTTAGTATTTTATTAAATAATGTATTTTCATTTTGTTAGGCTTTTTTGTTTAACTCAACTCTAAAAATGAACCCTTTTGCAGTGGAAGCCATTACAATGAATGGGTTTCATAGCGCAGAACTTTCCTTGTCTGGTGTGAAAGCTACTTTACACTGCAGTGACTATAGCTAGTGGTACTGTGAAACAAGTGCACTGAACATTACAGCATTTAAGTATAGTCTTTATTCTGTTCATTTTTTTTGCCAAAGCATTAAATCCATTTTCTGCCAATAATTTTTAGTGCGTCCATCATAGAAACAGCATTTTTTTAAACTGCATAGCTTTTGTATTTACTTGAAAATGAAAACATGGCCATGTTTCTCATTCTTTAAGATTGTGGGCAACCTGCTTTACTACCGTTACATGAATCCTGCCATTGTGGCTCCTGATGCGTTTGACATCATCGATATATCAGCTGGGGGTCAGCTGACCACAGAACAGAGGCGAAATCTGGGGTCAATCGCCAAAATGCTGCAACACGCAGCCTCAAACAAGATGTTCCTTGGAGACAACGCACATTTGAACCCCATCAACGAATACCTCGCCAACTCCTACCAGAAATTTAGGTAAAAGTGATATCAGTGCTTCTGTTTGTTGTTTTCCAGTTGTTTGGTTTATAATCACTCCATACTGATGCAAGAACCCTTCTGTCTTCCAGACGTTTCTTTTTGTCCGCTTGTGACGTCCCTACTTTGGAGGACAAGTTCAATGTGGATCAGTACTCAGACGTGGTCACCTTGACCAAGCCTGTGATCTACATTACCATCGGGGAGATCATCAACACTCACACGGTAACAATCCAAGACTCATGGTATGCTTACATACCCCTTTTCTACCAAGGCTAGTTCCAAATCGTTTTTTTGACACCCAAATCACCAGCTGTGAAACAGGAAAAGTGCTTCTTAAGTAGCACCAAAACATTGCTGAGCTAGAACTAGTCATGTCAAGGGCTGAGTTGTATTCTCCATCTATACAAAGTGTTACTATGGCACACTGCATGAATGCAATGGATTTGCTGTGCGAAATAGGTTTGCTAAGATATAAACATAAGTAGCAACACATTATTGCCAGGTTTGTATTTGGTGCTTCCACGCTTGTGTTACTGGGAAAAGTCAGACGTTTGCAGTGACATCAGACCTGCCCCTACAGTGGCTCTATTGCCCATGGAAAAGCAAAGCAATTCTTAGAAGGCTCACCAGACAAACCAGCTCTGAACTATCAATGGCACTGGCTCCCAACTAGCACCTGGTTTGTGCTGGTGGAGAGGGGGTAACATTCACTGCTACTTAGCTAAATTTTGACTTTAAAAAGTAAAGTAATACATGTACACAACCTGCATTTGGTTCAAGACAAAATTCAGTGCTGCCAACGAAAGGCTGATTCGTTAGAAATTGGAATTAGGAATTGAAATGTTGTCATGTATGACTGGACCTTTATTGTAAGCCTTCAGTGTAGTTGTTATTCATAATTGAACAAATTATGTGAAATCATCTTTAGCTCTTGCTGGATCACCAAGATGCCATTGCACCAGACCACAATGATCCCATCCATGAGTTGCTGGATGACCTAGGAGAGGTGCCCACCATTGAGTCTTTAATAGGTGAGCCTATGAAAATGCTTAGACGATGTGATATTGAAGTCTTGCAGAGTCCGTGTGATGAACTGTTGCTCTTTCACAGGTGAGAGCCCACTGCCAGCTGATGATCCCAGCAAGGAAATGATGGGTAAGACAGAAGTCTCCCTCACCCTCACCAACAAATTTGATGTTCCCGATGAGGCCAATGCTGAAATGGATGCCAAAACTCTTCTCCTTAAGTAAGGACAATACTCTTCTTAACTGTTCCATTGCCAAACCTATTGAGGTACCAGATTTTAAATTCTGAAAGCAGCAAGTGTCCTTCACAGAAAGGCCTTCATTAATGCATAATTGCACATACTGTACTGTCTAGCAACAAAAGTTCAAATATTTCAATCCATCCAAACCCATCGAATCTTTTTTTAAATGTATGCTTAGACCAATGTTACAGGACTCTGAAGCTTTTGTATTACTCTTCATAGAAAATTAATGATATCCAGTTTGTTGTTTGTCGGAGATGGAGAAATTACTTTTGTAGACTCAACAACGCATTTTGCTGCATATGCATAACACTTGTATCTATCGAACCATCCAGATTTACTAAAAGAAAAGTTTTCTCACCGCAACGATGACCTAGAAGAGAAACACAACAAAAAGAACACACAGTTTAGATCATGTTGTCTTCTATCCCCCAGTTGTCAAGTTTGTTTAATGCAGCACTTACGGTCTATTCACACAGGGCGTCAGCATCAACGCTTTCTATTCACTTTTGGAATGGGTGATGTCAGGCGTTGCCGAACTGCATTGTGGATCCGTCAGCGCCACTTCAGTGGCGTTGCTCACTACGAAAGTTGGGACTTTCTCAACTTTTCAAGCGCCGACAGAAGCGTCAGCCAATCAGATCGCTGTATGCAAATACACCAGCTCAAATAGCAGTCGATTACTGACTAATTCCATTGGCTGATGCTGCTATGATGATCATGTCAGCCCCAACTTCAGACACGCCCTCTGTCAAGCATTGACGCTGAAGCCCTTTGTGAATGCACCATTAATGTTACTTGTCACCCACTTATGTCACTTCAGAGATACAAGTGATAATACAACCAGAAAATTTGTCCAAAAGAATATTACTAATTGGGGAACCAGGTTTGGAGGCTATTCTCCCATGATCACCTTCCTGTAAATATCAGATGCACAACCCCCTATACAAATCACCTTTTGAATCTCATATACAGAGAAGAATGCAATTGCTTTCTAATTGAGTTTGCAAGTAATTGCTGGCTGTCTTAATTACTAGTTTCTGAAACTAGTAGAACTTGGGCATTTACTTGTTTTACTTATTCACAAATCTGCCCCTTTTGTCTTGCTCATTTAGCACCAAGAGGCTCATAGTAGATGTGATCAGATTTCAGCCAGGAGACACACTTACTGAGATTCTGGAGACTGTAGCTTCACCTGAGCAGGTACTTTAATTGCTATTTATTTTTCAAGAATGGAAGTAAGCTTTATCAAACTTTGTAATAAAGTCAGCACTTTTATTTGAAACAGGAAGCAGAGTACCAGCGAGCTATGCAGCGGCGAGCCATTCGCGATGCAAAGACCCCAGAGAAGATGAAGCAAGCCAAACCAGTTGTAGATGACAGTCTTACTTTGCAAGGCAAGAAGGACAAGATCAAGAGCAACCTGCAAAGACTGGGAGAGTTGGGCAAAGTACACCCTGAGAAGAAATACCAGGACCTAATCAATGACATCGCCAAGGTACTGTTCTTGGATGTGTCCTAGCATTTACATTCTGCATGTCAAGGGTGTCCAAACTTGGTCCTTGAGAGCTGGTGTCCTGCAAATTTTAGCTTCAACTTGTCTCAAGACACCTGCAAGGATGTTTCTAGAAAGCCTAGTAAGAACTTGATTAGTTAGCCCAGGTGTGTCTGATTGGAGTTGGAACTAAACTTTGCAGGACACCGGCCCTCCAGGACCGAGTTTAGTCACCACTGCTTTATGAGAACACAAAACTTCTAGCATTTCATTTTCACACTAAAGCAGGGGTATCAAACTCGGTCCTAGAGAGTTTAGTTTTGGCCCCAATTAGACACACCTAAACCAGCTGATCAAGCTCTTTTTAGGTATGCTAGAAACCTCCAGGCACAAGTTTTGAAGGGAGTTGGAGCTAAACTATGCAGGACAACGACCCTTCAGGGCCGAGTTAGGGCACCCCTGCACTAAAGCATCTTCATTTACTTGTTAATGGTTTTTGTAGGACATCCGCAACCAGAGGCGATATCGTCAGCGGCGAAAGGCAGAATTGGTGAAGCTTCAGCAGACTAATTCTGGTTTAAACTCCAAGACCAAGTTCTACAACGAGCAGATTGACTACTACAATCAGTACATCAAGACCTGCATGGACAATTTAGGGAGCAAGGGAAAGTGAGTATTTGTTCAGTTTAGCTCATCTTGTTTTCTTTGATCAGATTATTGGTTTTAAGCTCTTGACTGACAATTATGATAAAATGGCTTCGTTTAAACAGAGTTTCTAAGAAACCTGGAGATAAACAGGCAAAGAAGAGCAAGCAGGTATCACAGAAGTACACAGCAGCCCGTCTGCATGAGAAGGGAGTGCTTATTGACATCGATGATCTGCAGACAAATCAGTACGTTTTTTGATCTCTGCTTGTTTTTTTGGAGTGATCTATTCATATATTTCTGTACTGTGCTTCTGTATTTACATTTGATTTTCTTTAAATAACATGCTTGTTCATTTGCTCGCCATTTACAGGTATAAGAATGCAATTTTCGAGATCTCGCCATCAGAGACTGTGGGAGTGTTTGAGGTGAAAGCCAAGTTTATGGGCGTTCATCTGGAGACATTAATGTTAGAATACCAGGTGAAAGTTCTTTTCTTTATATTTTTATCTTCGTAACTCATCAACTCTTTGGGCGCCCATCACCCGTCATAGATCAAATTATATGATCATTAATAAACTGTTCTAAATCCATGTTCTAACACGTATTTGAGAATCTGAATATCAGATATTTCACAATATAATTATGACGTTTCTCTATATTTGCAGCAGAACATAAAAAAGAAAAACAAAACAATATGTTCATAAATCATCATTAAAAACTCATTCTGGGGGGGGTCAGTGGTAGTATTTAAAGGGGATCTATTATGCTAAAAATAATTTTATAATGCTCGATTCACACGGGGCTTCAGCGTCAACGCTTGACAGAGGGCATGTCTGAAGTTGGGGCTGATGCAGATCGTCATAGCAGTGTCAGCCAATGAACAAGTCCGCAATCAGCTACTGTCTGAGCTGGGGTATTTGCATAAAGTAATCTGATTGGCTGGCACTTCTGTTGGCGCTTGAAAAGTTGTGAAATTTTCAACTTCTGCAGCAAGCAACGCTGCTGAAGTGGCGCCAACGAATCCACAATGCAGTTCAGCAATGCCTGACGCCAGCTATTCAAAGTGAATGGGAAGCGCTGATGCTGATGCTCCGTGTGAATGAGACATAAGGGTTTTGACAGTGTGTGAATATAGCCAGATATGATAACTTTTGTTTACAATCACACTTGATAAAAACAATCTGCAGAAACATTTTGATTGACAATCTTGCTATGTACATGTCGTCAAAGGGGAATTATTGACACCCATTAGTGTCAATCTCTCCAGGCACGTGCACAAATAGGGCTCAACCTGTGCAGTGGACATGCCCTTTTTAGTCTTGGATATAAAGTGCCCTTCTAAAATGATCAAAAGTGCCCCGCGACGCGACACACCCTCCGTCCCGCACTTAAGTAGGCGCGCGACAACACCGCTCTTCAGTACGCGCGTGACAACAACACCCCCCCCCCCCCCTCTCATTAACATAAACAGCCCTGGGTGAAAAGCAGCTGTCAGCCATTAGTTTTGACCCACTGAAGATGTCAGAAATGAAGTCTCCATAGACTTCTTTCTTTAAGCACAATCTCATTTGAATTTAAAGCGACAGTCAATAATTGGCACAATTTAAATCAAAACCTAAAAAGGGCAGTTTCAAAGGGTTATGAAACATTTTGAGCTGAAACTTCACATACAGTGGAGCAACACCAAAAACCACCCAGCTACATGTTACAGAATCCAGACAGACTAAAAAGCTGTCTGTATAAAGACACACATGCACATAGACACAGCACCAAGCAAACGACACACAGCATCACGCTCTCTCTCATTCACACACATACACACACACATAGACGGCACCAAGCTAGCGATGCACACCATCACGTTCTCTCTTTCACACACAAACCCGCTAGCTCGGGAGTCTTGAGTGATATTGTTAGACTGCCCGCTCCTGTTCAAATTACACCAGTTACCGATCAAACCTTTATTCGGAAATTTATTCCCACGCTGCAAGAAATCTGGTTGCAGACCCCAACTATAGGTCCCCTTAAAAACATACATGTTAAAAGGATTAATTGGTTGATTTGAGTATTGTCTAATGGCTCTTACCACCAGAAACTACAACTGTAAAATTTCAAGATTCATTGTAGAGAATAGGCAAGTACATATAATGGCAAGTACTGTAATTATAACAACATACACACACACAAAAATAAAACAATATTGTTGAAATCCCTCTGACGACATTTTTTTTTCTACTGTGGGGCTGAAAACAAGGCTTGTAATACAAATGCAGCTCTCATTGCCTTGGTAATTCAAATATTTAAATGATTAGCTCATCCAAAAATGAGAATTATGTAATTATTTACTCTCATGTCATTCAAATCCCCAGAGACAGCAACTGTGCCAGGATGTCCAGAAAAGGAGGCAAAACATGGTCAAAACATTTCATTTGACTTGTGGTTCACAAGTGGTTCAGCTGTAATCATTTAAAGCTCTAGAGACACTAGTGTGTGGCAAAACAAACAAACAAACAACAGCTTTTGTGTCTTGTCAGGGTGCATGCTTACTACCATTTATATGACGCTTGCTCTGTTGACTAATGGAAAAGGGTTGTATTGACCATAGTCAATGTGCACCCTGACCTATCACAGAAGTTTTTACAGTTTTTTGGTGCACAAAAGTGTTTTTGGAGCTCTGTAGGTTTACTGCTGAATTACTGAACTCACATGGAATGTTTTGACAATGTTGTCTAGACATTAAATGTCTTCATCTAAAATATCCTAAACTGTATCCCGAAGATGAACAAAAGTCTCAGGGAATTGGAATGACATGAATTTTCTAATGAACAAAATTTTAATTATTGAGTTAACTAACCCTTTAAACCGTTTAATGTGATGTAAAGTAAATGTATAAATTGTTCATTGACATAAAAAAAATGCGAGCAGGGGTAAAAACCATACACTAAATAATATGTACGTATTATCCGGGATGTCACCCAATTCTGATCTGAGAAAGTGACTGAGTAAAACTGTAAAACTGATGTACTTGTAATGGAGTCTCACTATAAGGTATATTTAATTTTACCATAAATTTCAGGTTCTCTCTACACTTCTGCATGGTGGCTCGAATTTAAAATGAGCAATCTAAATAAAAAAGTAATGCGGCTTAGTAAACAAATGTATGTTTCTTTTTCTAATACAGAAAGGACAGTTTAATGTGTCAGTTTGAATCGTCGACTGTAAAAGATATGGACATGGTATTAGTGTATGACGTCATCTATATGTTTCTGAAGAGCGCAAATGAAGCTACAAGGGGACCTGGCCAATCGTCACTATTTTGTTCACGCGTCATCGCACCAACCAGGGCAACCAAAAAAGGGTGGTGCATGAGCGGAGATGCTAAATGCTAGCAGATGTCTTTTTTTTGGGGGGAGAAACGCTTAACACTTCATTACCTGGACTCATTTGTGTTCTGACCACATGTACTTGGTTGTGTACTATACTAATAAAGTGTTTAGTCTTTTAAAAACACTTTTGTAACACATTGAGCCACAAAGCATTGTTCTTATGATGTTTTCCTAAAGGAGGAAAACGCAAATTACTTCCAAATACTTTGGATATAGTCTTATAGTGTTAGTAAATGCAGGACTATTAATTAAATCCAGGCTTAACTCTGTATGATAACGATTCAGATGCTAATCCGCTAATCGATCTGTCAGATTCTGGAGTTTATTACAGGCCTAAAGAAAAATATAAATGATAAACCTGCGGCCTGTGTGGGTCCTAACACCCCAGAATATTGATAGGGACTCTATACTGCTCTATTACGCCCCAAGTCTAGGGGAAACAAAAAGGGCATAATAAACGAAGAAAAAGCAAATGTGTTGGGGTGGTGGATTTCCCGAACTAAACAAAACTTAAAGCAAAAGATTCCCTTCGGTCGACAACCAAACTCACACACTCAGTTGAGAGTATATATGAAGATATTTATTATAGAAAAATGGGGTTAATATAAATGAGCATTTCGTCAGGGTGACCACAGGCCAAAATAACAAACAAAAGAATCTATAAAGTAAATCCACTAAATTACCTATTACTATTTAAAGAAAAATACAAATATCTTACCTTACTAAATAAACAAAGTCAAAAGTAATCAAATAAATAGGCAGGTCACCCCTACACGCTCAAACTCTCAAAAATATTTTAACATATGTTGGTGATCAGTACAATGGTTGCTGGTTGCGGCCGGAGGGGTGAGGGAAACCCAGGAGCTCCACTCCAAACACCGAACGCACAGAAATGAGCTCTTCGAACCCTGAGGGAAGCTCCCTTATATACAGGCTTTTGAGACCAGCAGCCAATCAGAACAGGGAATCACGCCGGTATGGGAGCCTATGAAACAACAGAAAAACAACAAGACGGCGGGACAAAAGAAAAAGACAGAGTACAATCCGCAATAATAAATAAATAAATAAACTCCAGTCGTAACATGCGCAGTGAGCGTCGTCTTTTGAATGAGGCGTTAAACTGAGTTCCTGACTCTCTGTTGTAATTTAAAAATCAAATCTGCGGACTGGCCTCTGTCCATCATGGCCTCCTAACCATCCCTATATCATAATTGGCTTCATCACTCTGTCTCCTCTCCACCAATCAGCTGGTGTGTGGTGTGCAGTCTGGCGCAAAATGGCTGCCGTCGCGTTATTCAAGTGGATGCTGCACACTGGTGGTGGGTGAGGAGATTCCCCCCATTGTGTGTAAAGCGCTTTGAGTGTCTAGAAAAGCAATATATAAATGTAAGGAATTATTATTATTATAAATCTCAAACAAATACATTTATAGATATGGTATTTAAGTATATAATTAATTGCACTCACCTGGGAAATCGAGGAGGAACTTGAATGGTTTGTGGGGTAAATTAAGTGCACAGCATGCCATATTATCTGAAAATTGTAGGAAATAATTCCAAAATTGACTGTGTAAAGCGACAGAAAACAACACAAAAATATGGTGTTTATACTGAATTCAGCGGACATGGCGGTGACCAGCGAGACCTAGCTGTCACTCAAGTGGCCACGCCCTTAATTATGCAGACTTAATATAAAAGAAACGGATGAGTTATGGAAAAATTCACCTTCTCACAGTTGTCATGAAGGGAAAGCTATATACATCAAAATCATTTATTGCACCAGGCTGTAAACACCTTTTTTATGCTGTAAAGTTGGCTATTTTAACAGTGGGCTCAGTAGAAATGTGCTCTGTTATCGAGCCAGGCCTAGTGGAATTTCCATTATTTGCAGTTCCAGTTACTTCCATGTTAGCTTCACGAGGGAGAGTCGGATGTTGCCGCTTGGTTAAAACATGTGAATGATCACCTTATTGAAAAAGCAGTCAATCAGAAACCAACAGATGTCAAAAATAATCTGAAATATTATTGTGCATGCAATTATAGTTACAGTTGAAGTCAGAATTATTAGCCCCTGTTTATTTGTTTTCCCAATTTCTGTTTAACAGAGAGCAGATTTTTTCAACACATTTCTGAACATAATAGTTTAATAAATCATCTCTAAAAACTGATTTATTTTATCTTTGACATGATGACAGTAAATAATATTTGACTAGATATTTTTCAAGACACTTCTATACAGCTTAAAGTGACATTTAAAGGCTTAACTAGGTTAATTAGGTTAACTAGCCAGGCTAGGGTAATTAGGCAAGTTTTTGTATAACGATGGTTTGTTCTGTAGACTATCGAAAAAAATATAGCTTATAGGGGCTAATAATTTTGTCCTTAAAATGGTGTTTAAAAATTAAAAACTGCTTTTATTCTTGCTGAAATAAAACAAATAAGACTTTCTCCAGAAGAAAAAATATTATCAGACACACTGGGATCATTTCATTGCTCTGTTAAACATCTTTAGGGAAATATTTTTAAAAAAATAATAATAATCAAAGGGGGGCTAATAATTCTGACCTAAAATGAATATTGATATTGGTACTGTTTTTGTGAATGGACCTAAACATTTCTTTTTTTCATCATCTTTAATAACAGGACCTGCTCCAGTTGCAGTATGAGGGGGTGGCAGTGATGAAGCTGTTTGATCGAGCTACTGTAAATGTTAACCTTCTCATTTTCCTGCTCAACAAGAAGTTCTACGGAAAATAGAAGCTCAGAGGCACTTGACAGACTGTTGCAGACACAGTGAAACCCAGACCACACACACATCTTTACAGTTTAAGCGTCTTTCCTGCACTACTCTGAGTATCCCTGCATTCACTCTGTGCCTTTCTTGAAGGAAAGATGCCTTGAATGTACATTATTAATCTTAAACCAACAGATTTAATCTTCCGGATAAATAATGGTTGAGCATTTTCTATTTTTATTGAGAGTGACAGTGTCACAGCAATAGTTTGCTTCGATCTTTTTGTAAACTGTGCCTGCATGAGCTTTGAATTCTGTATATGTTATATGTAAAATGAACATTTTTATTACATGATCTATTCTTTGAGAGAAACGAAACGGTTTCAAAGTATCCCTGTCATATAGGAAAGTGACAAGTATTACAGTCACGTTCCTTTAAATGTTACCACAATATATTTATCAGAGCAATTTCTTCGTTTGTTTCTTTATTTGTATAAACCTAGCTATGAGTAGGTACACTTTATTGGCTGTGGTCGAAAATGAGGACTTATTAGAAAACTTCGATATGTATTTTTTATTTTGTTTTGCTGAGAATTTGGACACTGCATGCTGGATGATGTTTTCCGTTTACGTCCTTCTGATTTTTGCAGCCTTGTGTCCATTTGTTTTTTAAAGGTGCCTTAACTTGAATAAACCGTTGGGAAGCTTGATGGAGAAGCTTTATCATGTCAACGCATAGTGCTTATGATGTCAGCCCATCTCATTGTATGTTTTTACAGTCAGTGTCTCACATACAAAATATAGAAGTTGAATTATGGTGACATTTTTACTACTCATTATGTTCGGAAAATGCTGATGACAATAAACAGATGAATTGTTAAATTTAAAAGATGTACAGACACATATTTCTTCCTTTTTTTTACGCAACTTGCTGTTTTTTGGTTTTTGACTGAGATATTCTCAGTTACTGTAGTCTTGAAACAAAGAGCCACACTGTTTTCTATTCAAGTGTTTTATAAAGCTGAATGAAGATGTACATTTTTTTCAGTAGTGTTAATATACTGATATATATATACTATATATATATACTATATATATATATATATATATATATATATATATATATATATACTGTATATATATATATATATATATATATATATATATATATATATATATTATTTTATCATTATTATTTTTTTTTTAAGTATACCACGATTCTCAATATAATATTTAAACCGTTCGGTACAACATCCACGGTTCATTACACACTTGTAAATTGCGGTTTTCTCGGTTTTGCGTTTAAATCATTTATGTGCGTTTTATATCTCCCCGAATTGACTGTGTGTGCCTATAAGTCCATTAGCTGAAATGAGCAAACTCCTCCCCGCGAGTAAATATTCAATCACTATGATCTAAAGTTAGGGGCCGCTTAACCATCATTCCACCCTTTAACATGGCGAGTGGCGGTGAAGTGAGGCTGAGGCAACATTACAAGGAAGCGCTGGCGAAATGAGGCAACAGTACGAGGAAGTGCCGGCGTCTTTCAAATCTGCGATGTGAGGACATTTTGATTTTGTCGGTAAGTATAATGTATAAAATATAATATATATATTATATTTTATATATATAATATATATATTATACTTTTTAAGTATAATAATAAAAAGAAAAAACACTGAACAAAAAATTACTGTGTGCAAGCATTGTTTAACACTTGACATAACCATGACTGCACATCTGCAGCGCCATCACCCAGCAGTATCACTGTCTGAAGGCAGGGCAGCAGAGAAGGTAATAAAGTCCTCCAAATAGCAACAATCCTTCGCTGAATCTTTCAAGCAAACATACCCTACTGGTTCCGAGAGATGCATAAAAATAACAAAGGCAGTGCGGGTGTTTATTGCTAAAAATTTGCAGCCGTTTTCGGTGATTGGAGATGCGGGCTTTTGTCATCTTATTAAAGCACTCGGTCTGCGTTACAGACTACAGTCTCGCATTTTTTCAGCACCGAGATAATTAGGATGGTTTATTTGTGTTTACTTAAGTACAAATATGTTTAGTTGAAATGACCAATTTATCTTTAATAACTTCACGTGTATGTTTATTTTCAAAGTGTGAAATTTTAAGTGTTCCCCAGTTTGTACATATAGGCTACCAGCAGCTGTGAGGTTTCAGTGTTCTTTTTTTTTTTTTTTTTTACAATACAATAGGAACTAGTTTACTTTTCCTGGCTTTTAAGTAAAACAAAATAAGTATTGCAATAAATTGTTTTAATTTTTTCCTCCTTAATGTCTTACTGTTCCTATTGCTCATAGAAAAAAAAAAAAAAAACGTGTGTCAAGCCATGAGAACTGTTAAAAGAGCGAGGTATGTATTGAACCGTGGGCTAGCTATATATATATATATATATATATATATATATATATATATATATATATATATATATATATGTATGTGTGTGTGTGTGTGTGTGTGTGTGTGTGTGTGTGTATATATATATATATATATATATATATGTGTGTGTGT